AGTGACAGAGAAAAGATGCAACAGAACAATGAACACAAGTGGCCATCATGAACAGTGCCGCTACCATGATACCCGCGCACATAGTGATACCAAACACTACCTATACTGATAGGACATTTATGGTTCATCTTATAGGTTATCCCTGTACTTTAATTTGATCGTTTTTTCGTTTAAGTAGAGTAATAAAAGAGGTTTGACGATGTTAAGGTCGGCATTTAAACGAAGTCTAACTTAGAGCGCGGTTTAAAGTCTTTGAACCTCTAGATCGCTTCATTACTGGGTTATTTTAAGAAGAAAAATGCTTTTCTATAGTGTACGTTATACGTTATAAGCTTTAATGAAACTGTTCACGAAAAATGGTGTTTTATTTAAAAGCGTTCGGCGAAGTGAAAATGGCTTAGAACGCGTTTTTGTTAAACACTGATTTAAACTCCGTTTAAATAACTGACCCAAACAGTTCGATTCGGGCGTTGCATTATTTTGAGTCAAAATATGAAAGTTTCTTTATGACTGTTAAAGTGATAACTTTAAAATTTGCCGATGGTAAGACTGCTAAAAAAGCTAATAAACTGTTTATAAAGAGTTTCAGTCGGCTTCTGCTCGCCAGGAAAATAAGGCCCGCTGTTACAGCCATTAATATTCACATTTTATGCATGAAGTATAGCAGCGTAACCCCCGCACCCGGGCCCGCACCTTAATTGTTAGATCGAGATCCCTGTTGCAGAAGAGAAGAAAAGTAGATATTTTGGTTTTAATAAGGTTATATTTGATAAGTTAGCAGATCTGTGATTAAAATGGTAAAAGTGAAGCCCATTCAGAGTTCTCCCTGTTAACAGTTATGGTTTTCTCACCACCGCATTTTAAAATTATATACCTACTATAATTGTCCTTGTATAAACAGGAAGTTTAAAATCATACGATTTGCATTTAAAATTAGGTGTTAGCGAGGAAAAATAAAAGTGCTGTCGCAAAGTGAAAATAGGCTTTTGACTGTTATCTTTTTAAAATTTAACCCATTTACCTTAAAATTGAAAATGTGTCACTAAGTTTACTCAGGAGCCCATCAAAGATAACCTTTCCGTGATCCTCAGTTCGCTGCCCTTGTTCCATCGCTTCGTACTTAGTAAAAAAGGAAAACGGTCGAAGGACGGGCGTCTGAGTTCGACTTCATCTAACTTAATTATCTTTTCACGGTGACATACGAGATTCACGGAAATATGACACTTAACGCGGGAAACAAGCCGTTCTATTTATAAATCTACTCGGGAAGCCAAGGGGTTGACCCAAGAAATTAATGGAGATAGAGGCTCCATTTGATGGGCTCCTTGTTTACTTTAAGTAAGAGATAAACCCCTCGAACGGAGGTATTAAGCCATATACATCCCGAGGGCCGTAGGCCCGAGGGATGTATATGGATTAATACCGACGTTCGAGGGGTTTATCTAACTTATTTCATGATATTATTCATGAGGTATAGGTTACATAAAGGTCGTCTTTCACAGGGCAATAATTGGCCACTTGTTTTTGACATGTGTTTGTTTGTCATTTTTTGACCCGACCGCAGACAATGACGTATTTCATTGTAAGTATTGTAAAGATTTTCACACAGCATCGAGAAAGGGCGTTTCACGGGTCATAATTTGTTCAAACCACTTGTTCTCACTTAGGTGAGAAACGGAGAACAATAGCGCATTGTTTGTTTGCTCAGCCGACAACAATCAAATTTCAAACCTTATGTGTTTGTTTAATTTCTGTCTTGGTATTTTTGGGGGGGCCAGTACACTTGTGAGAGCGGCAATGGATAGTGACGACGAAATTTTCCTAACGCAAAATACTTTCTCTCAGGAGCCTTTTTCCCCTGAGTTGAATTTAGAAGAGTTAGTGGGAGACTTTAGAGAAGTAAGCGAA